ACACACACACACACACACACACACACACACACACACACACACACACACACATATACACACACACTCAAGAAGATGGTGCTCCTCATGGCCAAACTTAGTCAGCTCGTCCGGTCAGTGTCTCCCACCCCGCCTCATACACACACACACACACCCTGTCAAATCCTGGGTACTCTAGTGTGGTTTGCTCCTCTCATATCAAACATCTATCGTCCTTTTCTTTTTTTCTTTCCTATCAAATATTTATCGTCTCTTCTCTTCTCTTTCTTTCCCATCAGACATCTGTCATCATTCTTATCTCTCACCCTTCTTTCCAATCAAACATCTATCTTCCTTAATCTCTCCTCCTTCCTTTTTTTGTATGTCGCTCTCCAGTAACACCTTTAGTCTTTGTCACTTATGTGACCTATTTGTGTTGCAAGTGTTGCCTGAGTAGTTAAACGTTGTGCACTTGTTTTGATGAGGTAGATGTAGTCAACACAAGGTGAAGATACGCTTAGGTTTGTACGTGATAAACTGTACATTGTTATGTTTGGTCTTTTTCTAGATAGTTTTGTCTCCTGATTTATTCAGGGAAAACGTTCAGTAAGGGATATGCATGTCTTAAGGAGAGTAAGTCGGTGAACGAAAATACTTGTGCCGGAATTATTTAAATAGATATTAGAGCCAGCATTGTCTGTAGAAAGGATGTGGAGAGATATAAGAACCACCATAAGTGTGTAGAAAGGTTGGGGAGAGATATTGGAACCAGTGTCGTTTGGAGAAAGGATGTGAAGAAATAATTATTAGAACCAGCCTTCGCATGTAGCAAGGATGTTAAGGAGATATCAGAAGCGACATGAGTGTGTAGAAAGGATGGGGAGAGATATAAGAACCAGCATCGTGTAGAAAGGATGTGAAGAAATATTAGAGCCGGCTTTCGTGTGTAAAAAGGATGTAGAGAGATATTAGAACCAGCGTACACGTGTAGAAAGGTTGTGCAGAGATAAAAGGGTGCGATGAATTATTAAAACCACATATGCGGGTAGAAAGGATGTGAAGAAATATCAGAACCACCATAAGTGTGTACAAAGGATGTGGAGAGATATAAGAATCAGCATCATGTAGAAAGGATATCAAGAAATATCAGAACCAGCCTTCGCATGTAGCAATGATGTTAAGGAAATATCAGAACCAGTCTTCGCATGTAGCAATGATGTTAAGGAGATATCAGAACCAGCATCGTGTGTTTTTCTCTCCACAGAGGCGAGGGCGGGACCAAGAAGGATCTGATCGCCACCGCTAAAGCCATCGCCGAGGCCTCGGAGGAAGTGACCAGGCTGGCCAAGAAGTTGGCGGCCGAGTGTACAGACAAGAAGATGAGGATGGTGAGGAGGAGAGGAGGGACATGAGGGGGTGGACGGGTGGAGGGGTATGTGGGAGGGAAGGGGGAGACCGAAAAGGGGAGTGAGAGGGGAATTAACAAGCTCCAATTAATGGGAAGGAGATTGGGAGAGCGGAAGAGGGGAGGGAGAGACAGACAGACTGAATAGCCGCGGGCACTTGGGCGTGAGTGTGAGTCGGTGTGCGTGTGCGTGTTTGCGTGAGTGTGTGTGTGTGTGCGTGTGTGTGTATGTGTGGAGGAGAAAGAGTACACGCGCGTTTGTGAGTCTGTGTGTGTGTGTGTGTGTGTG